ACCTTCAGGAAGTCTGAAGCCAAGTTGTTTAGGGTTTTATAGGTTAAAACTAGTCCTCTGAATGTTCCTTGGAAATTGTTTCGAAGAGGAATATGAGTAAATTACTAATGACAGTCAGTCATCCAGCTGTTTTTCCATGGATGCCCTTCACACTTTCCTGCAGGGAGGCAATCTAGGAGAGCTAAGTCTCTTTTTCCTCAGCTGGGGCTATACATTTCATTTGTTCAGTGATGGTTTATTGCAGTGGTTCTTAACCTTGGGTTACTCAGGTGTCTTTGAACTGTAACTCCCAGAAACTCCAGCCAGCACAGCTAGTGGTGAAGGCTTCTGGGAGTTGCAGTCCAAAAACACCTGAGTAACCCAAGGTTAAGAACCACTGGTTTATTGCATTACAATATCCCCTTGTAACTGTATGGTTTGACCTTAATATTTTATTTACACCAAGTAAAAGAGTGCCCTTGACGCAACACTAGTCAAGAAACAGAACATGTATTAACATGCATATACCTATTAGATATATTGATGTTAGATGTTATGAAGACTGTATCTATTAATGTAACATGTTATGGAGGCCATAACAAAAAGATGAAGAATTCTTAAGCTTTTAAGACTTCTGTTTCCGATGTCATCTTCATGCAAGAAACCCAACAAAAGAAAAAAATACATAAAGTACTAACACACCAAGTCTAAGGGAGCAGTCTTACAAAAAGAGGGGGGGTGCTTTTAAAAGCACAGGAGTGGTTATCATACTAGCTAAGTCATGTCCTCTCATAGTAGAAGAGCCCTTGGAACACTCAAATGGGAGATGTATTCTAAATTAAAGAAAACTACATAGGTAAATTGGTTGAACTGGAGTAGATGAACCCATCATTCTGATCATGTTCTCCTGCACCAGTGGACAACTCCATACTAAAGAGCTCATCCAAAGTCTGGAGATTAAACACAGTGCTATAATTAAAACAACAAACAACGGACAGAATTAAACAACCACAGGCATCAATGTGGAACTCCTTCAAAGCTCTTCTGAGAGGACATTTTATCCAAGTGGGCTACCATAAAAAACTCAGAGAGAAGACATACTGAGGCATTAAACCAACAATAAATACTAGAATGCAGAACATAAAGTCACAAGTAACAAATAACCACAAGTTTATTAGTGTGCTTAAATAGCTGGCTTGATAGGTGTTTTTAGTATAAAATCTCCCCCTTTAACCTTTGCTCTAATCAAATGAGCGACATCTTTAAAGAGTTCTACAAACATCTATAAAAGTCAGCATTAAAGGACGCAAAAGACGTTCTTACCAACAATCCAATTTAAAGAGAAACAGAGGAAACTCATAAATATCTTTTCATAGAAACAGAAAAAAAAGAGCAATAAAAATCCTGCCACATGGATAATCCCAGAGGAGATGGCTTCTCTGAGGATTTTTTAAAAAGTGCTTATTGATGAAATAGACCTATGTTTAACTCTTGATTTCATGATATCCTGCAAGGTGGTACTATACCAGACACATGGAAAGCTGTGGGAACTGTGGCAATAAATAAAACTGGAAGTGATAATCCTCAGCTCAAAGTGTACAGGACTATAACACTTCTTAATCTGATCTGAAACTTCCTAAATTCTAGCCACCTACCTAAACACCTTTATCATACATTATCTCCCCAGGTCAGACAGGCTTTATACCACTCAGGCAGATAGGAGACTTAGTATGGATAGTTCTAAACAAAGTATGGAAACTAACACAAAACCCCAACAGTGCCCTCAAAACCCTGACTACCTTGAGTGGTTACAAAGTAGGATCACCATATCCACAGAGGATTGGTTCAAAGCTCACCCGCATGGATGCTGAAAACTGCAGATAATAGTGAATACTATATCTAGCATAGTAAGAGGAGAAAATCCAGACAAAATATTCTCACATACATTACCAGAACAGGCCACTAGGTGGCTTCAGAGACCATGCTATGAATTCTTGTTAAAGCATACATACTGTAGCATGGTCTCTTGTGCCCTCTAGTGGCCAGTTCTGATAATGCATGTGGAAATATTTTTTTCTGTTTTTTTTCTTTTAATATTTTCAGACCGTGGACAAGTGAAACCGTGGCTAAGTGAAACAGTGGATACCGATCCTGTGGAAGCAGGGTTGCTACTGTACTATTTCAAACTGTTCCATAAAGCTCAATTTGGTAACAGTTTCACATTTTACTACTTTTAGCAGTACCCTAAAAGTCTTTTAGGCTACTGCTAAACTCCCCAGTAAAAAGTGAAGACATGGAAGTCCATGCAAGATCCTTATTTTGTATGAAATGGAATTATTTCAAGCCCTGTTCTTGGGCTCCAGATCTCTTCCTTGGGATCTGTAGCAAAAGGAATGCATGTCTCTTCTTGGTTTGCTTGCAGTCCAGTTCTGTACTCCTCTTGAGGACAGCTGTCTTGTCTTTCTCCTTCTCCTTCATCTTCAAGAATCTCCCTTCATCCTCCACTAGCTGGGCCATCAGCATCATCCCACCCCTCTGGTTTAGTCCTCCCAACCTTGTGTTAATTAAGTTCCAGGAAGGACTAGAGGTCCTCCTCTTCCAAGATTTCCCACAGCCAATTTACTCCCTTTATTATCACAAGATAATAAAAGCAACAGATTAAGATAGGAATCTCAGGAATTCTCATTATTTTGTCCCCCCTCCTCTCCAAAAGTATATGACTGAGGAGTTATGGGGCAGGCTGGGAGGTTGGTGCATGTCTGTACAGATCAAACATACTAGGTCAGCAGTGCTTAATTTCCAGAGAGGGGGGAAAGCCTGGAGATGGAGTATGATTAAGAACAGCCCAGCTTTCTCCAAATACATATTTAGTGTGCAGTACTCCTAAGTTTGCAAAGTTCTCAAACTGTGAAAGAAGAATAAGAAGCGGCTGAGACAAGCTATGAAGGCAATCAGAGGTAGGGAATCACTACCTCTCCTAAGCTTCTTGCTTAGGAAGGCTCTGAAAGGAATCTCTGCAACTAGAAAACAGAAGTGGCAGCCATATTTTTCTGCCATTCTGAATTGCGTTTAGACCAATCAGGTGAAACTTACACTATTTTATTGGTTATTATTTATTTAATTATAAATTAAATAAATAATAGGCCCCTCCAAGTGAATGCCTCTCACCCTGTGTTAAGTGTGTCATGATAACAGGCGCATCCATGTAATTAAACAGTAACATCAGTCAAAAGTTCTAAAGTTTAATAGGAAAGGCTTGCTACGTACTTACCAGAAAAGGTTGGAAAGGGTTTACAAGTAGTGAAAAGTAGTCTGTGATGTCAGTAGTGATGCAAGGGATGACTCACTAGTATCAGCCAATCAGGACAACTGAAGGATTTTTAAATTCCCAGCAAAAAACTTCCTTTCTTACTCTTGCCTTCCTCTCTCTTCAGCTGGTAATAGGGGGAGAACTGATCCCAGGACAATGCGGCCAAGAAACAATGACATGCCGTCAGTAGAACCAGGGCTGTAATGAGCTAATTGTGTTTGGCAGGGCTGGTTATCCAGAAATGCCAATGTGTTTCTCTATTCCTTATACCATTTTTTTTAAAAAAATTGTGCCCAGAGACGAGTTCCTCTGATTCTTCTACCTTGCAGGCTCTTTTGTTCTGAATGCTTCATTAAGATGTAATAAAGTTTAGTTCTTTCTTAGAAATAAACCAACTTCGCAGCCAGGAAGAACTCAGCACTCTGCTTCTCTGGCTCCAAACAGCAGGCCAAAGTTGGAGGATGTGTGTATGGCAGTTTGCTGTTGGAGTATCTGTCCTCGCAGTGCCAAAAACATGCTTCTGTTCTCCTCGCTCAGCTCCGTGTTTGAAGCAGGGATCACATACCCAGGAAAGGGGACAGGCCTGACAAGAGTACTCCTCCCATCTGCTGGGTAAGCAGGGGCAGCCCAGGGATTTAAGGTTCAATAAAACCGCAGAGACAATCTCAACTTCCTTTCTCTAGAGCCCACTCCAGCCCTTCACCTGGATGTAATGGAGGGGAGCAGGGGCTTGATTTCACACAGAGAGACGGCGCACAGTCTAGGAAAGGAACAGAGACAGAACTCTACTGACCATACACTGCGACTTGACTCCCAATGGTAGCCCAAATTTGTGGGCTCCTGTCTACCTTCCAAGATTAACTACTCTGAGATAAACTATTAATACATTTAAATTGCACACTTCGGTTTGGCTGCTAAAATCAAATTTTTGTGGTTGTTGGCCACCTCCTCACCAGCACAATCAGATGCCCAACAACCGAAAACCAACACTATCCCAAATATACAACGAACAAATAGATGGCCAACAGATGATCCATCATCCTAGTTAATGAAGCCACAATCAGATGCCCAACAACTGAAAACCAACACTATCCCATACAACGAACAAATAGATGGCTGACAGATGATCCATCATCCTAGTTAATGAAGAGGAAGAATCTCTCTAAAGCCTTTTGTGAAGAGACTGGCCTTTAGCAATTTTTCGAAAGCCTGGACAGAGGAGGGGGCCTGACGGATCTCTACAGGAAGGCTGTTCTGAAGATGTGGGGCCATTACCGAGAAGGCTCAGTTCCCCATCTGCTTCCGTCAGAGTGGTCACCTGTAAAAGACCAGCCTGGATGGATAGTGTCACATGGACTGATGTTCTTCAGGGGAAGGACTCCCAACAAGTAACGGGGTCCCAAACTGTTAAGGGCTTCATACGTTCATACATTCATATCAACACCTTGAATCTGGCTCAGAAAGGCACTAACTTACTTTCCTCTTAAATAAAACCAAATTCGTGGCACTTTGGAGGATGCAATATACTCAGTGGTTCACGACCTATTTGCAATAATTAAGTTTTCTTCCACATATACCCAAGAACAGAAAAACACACCTGCACTCACAATTCAAGCAGATGTGGTCAGTCAGGTGGCACACTATCTCTTCATGAAGTATAAAAGTTCTATAAATAGACGGAAATTAAAAGAATAACATTACCATCACTTACCCGGATGCGTCTCATAGCGGTTACAATCTCAACCCTGCTATTTGGCCGGGGCACATCTAGGCTGCCGATATACTAGAAGATAAAGGGAGAGAAATTAGGGCAAAATAGCAAAAATACATGGAACAGATGTACAGCCAGCTTCCCTCTGTGTTTCACCACTCGTAAAAATATAGAACTGTAAAGCTGGAAAGGATCCCAAGAGTCATTTAGTCAAACTACAACCTAAAGCAAGATATTAATAGCTAAAGCACCCTCAGGCACACGGCCTACGTTGTTTAGAAGTTTTTGTTGAAGGAGGGCCAAGCCCCTTCTACTCCACTGTCAAATAGCTTTTACCATCCGTAAGTTCTTCCGAATGTTTAGTCAAATTCTCTTTTCTTGTAGTTTGAATCCATTATACCAGATTGTACCTTCTGGACCTACAGAAAACAAACTTGCTCCATCTTCAATCTTGTCTTGTAAATACTAACTAGGGTTCTTTCGGAATTTGGTGACAGTGAACACATCAGAGGAGGAAAAGGCACAAAACTTAGAGAGACGGCAGAACAGAGTGTATAGGTGACAGGGGAAGCTAAGTGCAGAGAAAGACCAACCTGACACCTTCCTGCATGCCAGGAGCCCCAAAGCAATGGTGGCAAGTGACTCCAGGTGTTACTAGCGATGCAGCACCTCTCCAGAGCAGATCAGTGGCTGAGGCTCAATAATGGTCAAGATCATCAGTCCTCGTATACTTTTTGGGCAGGGCATCTGTTTATCAACACCTCTCTGAATGGCAAACTTGTAGGATATTTGCATTTCACTAATTGGCAAAATGATAAACAGAGCCTCTTAATAACAAAACCAGACATCAGAGGATAGCAGAGTGGGGACACCAAAGTGTAACACCTCTAAGACAGACTTGTCTTAGCTCTTTTTGAATTTCTCACCACAGGACATCTGGAGTAAACAAGTTGGCACTTGGCCAAAAGGCTTCATCATTCAGCCAGTTTCCTGCAGCTGAAGTCTTTCCCAGACAAACTTTAGTAACCTCTGATGTATATCTTGTCAGACGGATCCAGGCATCTACAGCATCTTAATTTATTTAAAATATTTTTACCTTGCCTTTCTCCTTAAATAGGACCCAAGGCAGCTTACTTTATTAAAGTATAGTGTTTAACAGCTATAAATAGTACATATACAAATACTGAAAAAGAATCAAATACAGTTACCACACTAAAAATGATAGGCATTGGGCACAGAGAGGAATATTGCTGTTAGAATTACAACAGTCTTCTGTGATGGACATGACACGTCGGACTGCCCTTCATTGTGTCAGCTCTTGAGTCTTCTCTCCAGGCTAATCATTCCCATTCCCAGTTCTATCAAACATCCCACATAGGCTTTGGTTTCCAGGCCTTTTCCCATCTGGGTCACCCTTCTTTGGAAATGCATTAGCTTGTGAATACCCTTCTGTGGTGTCCAGAACTGAACACAATATTACAGCTATGACCAAACCAGAATAGAGTGGTACTATTACTTCTCTTGATCTAGACCACTGTTTCCCAACCCTTTTCCAAGTCACAACCCCCTTTTATAATAGCCAAGTAACCTGTCAACACCCCCTTCATATTTGCACAAAAAGGGCATTTTAATGGGGAAAAGAAAACACATTAAAATATATTTTTCAGAATCTAATTCTAACCTTATATATATCAATATAAATGTAATAATACATTTGGCTTCTCCTCCTAGAATCTAATTCTAACCTTATATATCAATATAAATGTAATAATACATTATGGTGGGCTGCAAATCTGCCTCTACAAGATAAAATTTTAGAAAGATAAAATGTCAACACACCTTGAGTTTCAATAAAACTGCAAAGACAATATCAACTTGCTTTCTCTGGGCTTATGGACTCCCAGACCTTTTCACATGTACTCCTTCTAAGCAACGAGAGGCAGTGTATTGCAACTGGTAGTGTCTGACCTGGACTCAGGAGACTCAGATTCAAATCCCTGCTCAGCCATGGAAACTCAGCAGGGTTGACAATGGTGAACTACTCCACGCGCAAGCAAGATTTCAGCCATAGAATAAGTAAGATCTTAGGAAACAGGAAGAGAGTAGCGGCAGGCTCTTCCATCTGTTTTGATAGGCAGAAGGAAAAGACTCTGCTTTCAGTTCCACTAAGAAAGAGAGCCATGATCTATATTAAGGAGAGAGTCATAGGTTCAGAGAGTACCCATTTCCTGATCAGAAGTCATAATCTCTGGCCTAAATATGCAGATTGTCACTGCCTGCTTTATGCTCAGCCCCGGCCCATGAGCAGAAAGAGCACCCAACCCCCGCAAAATGGAAAAAATAGCTCCTCTTCACCATCTGTCCGTGAGGATTTGGGAGATAAAACACAGGGAATCAATCCACTTCAGATTTTCCCTGCCCTGAAACTTATTCCAAGGTCAGAATCACTTTGTAAAATTGCTTTTCATAGACTATCATCTTACAGACAAGATGAGCTCATAGAACAAAAATAAAAACACACCAACCTATAACATATGCCTTTAACTGGATTAACTGATTTTTTAAACTATGGAAGGAAGATTTCAAAGTGACACATCCAAAGTTTCAGGCATACATACAACACATACAAAATGTATACAGTACTGTATTACATGCCGCCTAGTTAATGAATTCACACTACTCTGGGTGGTGTAAAAGAAGCAAAACCACACAACGCACACTCACTTTTTTCCTATACAAATATAATAACGTAATCAATAATACTTATCTGTAACTACTGAAGGGATGCCTTACATTACATTGGCTAACATACGTATTGTTATTATATCTGGAGATACTGGAAATAAGCTTTCCCTGAGTGACTTGCTGTCTGAATGAGGTTTTTAAATGGCTTGTTGTACCTTTCTGCTTTGAATGTGTTTTGGTACTGCTTTTGCTTACTGTCTTTTTGAATGGTATTTGTTTGATTTTTTGTATACTCATTGTTAGCTTTAAATGCTATCTGAATGATACAAGCTGCCTTGGGTCTTTTATAACAAGAAAGGCACATAGATAGATTAGATAGATTAGATAGATAGATCGATAGATCGATAGATAGATCGATGGATGGATGGATGGACGGACAGACGGACGGCAGGCTGTCTGTTTGGAGACACTGTTTCCAATTACAACAGCTCAGTCCACTTGCTTCGGAGACAACATAGCTGTCATACTCTTCTTCACCCAGACCAGGGAGCACATTTGGGGACTGCAAAACTTAACAGCAACACAAAAGTACATACAGCAGGAGCTCCAGTATTAGACATGTTTTCCCCATCACAGCCTGTCCTTTGGCTATGCTTTGAAGGAGTGCGGACAAATGGAGAGGCAGAGAAGAGCAAGGCTACCTGGGCAGCAGAGGCAAGACATTTGCACATGTGCTTTCTATATATAGGGTTTGAGAGGGAGAGGGGCATTGGCAAGCCAAAGAGGGAAAGCTGTATCATCCATGATTGTTAATCACATTGTGTGGAGCACCAAAGGAAAATTAGTAATACTCTAAATGAGCTACAGATTTTTCCAAAACAAAAACAGAGCCCAAAATAAATTGGAAGGACTCCCTACAGCAAATTGCCGCTATATACGAGAATGGTCTTCCTCAGTAGAGCAGCTGAGTAGCATTTCACTTCCAGCCATTCATCTCACTATATAACTTAGTAAAATATACAAAATTGCTTCCTTTTAAGGAGAAAGGTGAAGTAAAAATATTTTAAATAAATAAAATAAATAAATTTCCTTTCAAAAATTACCTTTTTGGCTAACTCCCCCTCCCCCATGTTATAGCATCTATATTAACTTCTGTATCATGTGTTCAGCTAACATTCTCTATGCCTCCTGCGTTTGGTTTTCAATGCAGTTCTGCCTCCAAAGCTCCTTAGGTGATCATGTGTCCCAGTGGTTCTCAACCTTGGGTAACTCAGGTGTTCTTGGACTACAACTCCCAGAAGCCTTTACCACTAGCTGTGCTGGTTGGGGTTTCTGGGAGTTGCAATCCAAGAACACCTGGGTTACTAAGGGTTATATCTGATGACATTGGCCTTACCCCACAAAAATCTATGCCCAAATATAATTGCAAACTCCTGTTTTTATCTTTATGCTGCAACAGTTTGACAAGGAAATTCCCTCCCCTCAAAGTTAGGGAGCAAGACATTTCATTTTTCTCAGTTACACCATTACATAATGAAATCTGTTTGTTTATGCATTTTCTGTGGCACTTTATTTCCTGATCCCTAAGCGGATGGCAAATCCAGGAAGAAGCTACCTGAGCAAACAATTGCAACAGCATTTTTAAAAGGGGGACTTTGTACCAAGTGTTCTTGCTCATTGGGTGCAACTTTGCTTACTTTTGGCTGCAGTGAACAGCAACAGCCTCTGGGTCTGGGGAAGGCTTATACACAACACCTGACATACCATGTAAGATTTAGGGAAATAAAATTCATCTCTGCAGGATATACGATCTACATATTTTAATTTGAAATACATTAGATCAATTTTTTAGGAATATCTACATACAATATTCTCCTTATCTGAATAATTTATACAAAAAAGCAGAACAAGTTTTTCATCCAACTAAAAAAACTGACTAGGATGCTAGACCAGGATGCATCTCTGTGTTTCCACTTGAACACATATTTTATGCCCAAGGTCACATATACTTACATACACAACTGTTGCTGAGTGCAATAGGTTGCAACTACAGTAGAGTAGGTCCACTGAGTCAGTGGGGATTTGGTGAGTCAACTCTTCTATACATTCTAACAATCTAATGGACCTATGTGTGACATACTCTGCTTAGCAACAGGATTTCACTCAGCATATAAACCCACAATTTCCATAGGGTTCACACATGGACACACACTGGAGTAAGGAGAGAGAAGGCATAAGAAACAGCTGCAACCTCTCTTCTTGGCAGGCAAAAATGGAATCAGATATAATAGAAGATGAGTATTCTCCACTTAGAAAAGCCTGAAAAGGATTGCCATAGATCAGAATTGACTTGATGGCACACTGTTCTTATTCTTATTCTTACTCTT